TTTCAAAATTCTAGGCAATGCACACTTTCTAGGGATTAAGCAGAAGACAAAAGAACAGGACAAACCATTGAGCCCCCAAACTGGAATCCTGCCATGTAAGGGAGAGCTCTGCCGTTTTCCTAGACCATTTCAAACATCCCAAGCATATGTTAAGCAGCTTCTTCTCCTGTCTGACCATGGAAAAGAGGTTCACTGGCTGTGAGACCTGGCAGATGCACCAGACACTGGGTCCACTGGGTTACTACTGCTTTCCACACGTGTGCATGTCATATGCTAACGCTCTAGTACACACTAACACTTCAGCAAGCAGAACCTAAAGAAAGATGAAACTGCATCTCTTGATCACTGGATTGATCTGTTGATTCCTTGTGCCTAGAAGATTCCTCCAATCTGGTACAGGGACCTCCCTGTACCAGCTATAACCGCATGAGCTTAGTGTTTAGCGGTGGATTTTTGCTACACTCTAATTCTCAGACTACAGTGATGTCCAAGAAAGCCCACCTTGTACTGCTCGTTAACACACTAAAGAGCAAAGGTTAAAAATATTTGCTAATTATCTGACCTTAAAGGAGAAACACTCTTTTCCTGTCATGCATCAGTCACACTAAATTTTCCTGCTGCTAAAAACTGACCTCTAATTGCTCAGTGAATATTTTGATCATAATCCAAGCTTACAAAGTCTAATTTAAAGCACATGATTCAATATAAGTGGTATCCACAGTACTGGGTAGAAAAGACGCACCCAGGATTATTAGGGAGGCTGAACCTCAAAGTGTTCAGAACTCACATCCAAAAGCTCAGTAAGACATTTTGGATCTCCTAGTTCTGTGAAATGGAGAGCTAGGAATCTTGTCACAAAAACCTCAATAAAAATAATTTCTTCATGTTTCATTTGGTAAAACAAAAGAGAATGGTTGCATAAAGCTTTACTATACAAAGATATTTCCAATTGCATCTTCCCAAAGTTGTTAGTCTCAAACAGTTACCTTGTGTAATAAATCTGATAACGTATCATCATCTCTCTTTACTCACACTACATTCATCTGACTTGTATAGATTTGGCACAAACAAGGAATCACCGGTGGAGCTGTGCCCATTTTCTCCAGTTACTGGATTTGTTCCAGTAAACCAACTGATGAAGGCAGGTCTTCAAGACACTGGCAACTGCAAACTACTTAAATAGATCTACTTCTCCAAAGTTGCACTTCAAAACAAGTTTTATTAGTTTCTTTATGTAGGCACAGATAAGATCAGCCATCCTTCTGAGCAAGATGTAAATTTCAAGCCCCTCTGTTCCTTGCTCTCACAAGCACAAAATCAAGAATTAAACTAGGGTAAAGAAACAGTAAAAATCTACTTAGCAAAGAGCATCCCACTAGTCTCACTTGTTAGGTGGGAATGACTTGGCAACCATGAGGCAAGCACTCTCCTTAACGGAGTATCAGATTCCAACACCCCCTGCTCTGCTCATCATTTTTAGCCTTGTGACTACACAGGCAAGACTGTACACCTGTGCTGTGCAGGATCAGAGCTTCAGAGATCAGCTTTCAGATCTGAGAGAGCAGTGCTTTTTAGAAGCATTGCACAGAATTTGATGACACTAGCCTGGGAAATCATGATGGCATCAGTCAAGAAAAAAAAAAATCAGACTGAAAATGAATGAGTGTGACGATTGCAAGCTATGCAAGACAATAAAGAGAGAAGCCTGAGTGACTGCTTCAGGAGGAAAGTCACAAGATAAAGTGATGTGTGAACACTCACATTAGAAATTCTTGTGGATATCATAAAGCTATGAGGTAACTACCACTTACCTCTATATAGCTGGTATGAACATGATACAGCTCTGGAACAAGCAAGAAAAATGTAATATAGTTGATGTGGGTGAGGATGTTTGTTTGTCTTGGCAAAGAAGAGCTCATCTCATTCTACAGACTCTTCTGCCAATTGAAAAGCAGTCTGGAGGGAATCATATACATTACTCTCATCAGTAGGGAGAAGACATTTTAAATACTGCTAGTAGGAACCCTCTCACTCAGAAAACAAGAGATATTTAAAAAATACACTTTCAAATCCTCAGTTTTAAAACTCCCCACTGAAATATTGACAGCCCCAGTACTTTATATATATTAACATCTTTAATAGTTTCAGTGATCCTAAACTGCTCCTGCAGTTTACATTGAATCCATGTGTATATGTTTTATAATCACTGAAGGCACACCCTGAGAGCTGAATTTCTTTCTGTGACAGAGCAGAACCAAAGACATTTTAGCATTGCTCTGATCTCTGTAGTCCCTTTGTTGTTGTTAGCAGAAAAGAAACAGGCAAAAGTTTGCTCTCAAAAATATCAGAGTGCAGTAATCTTGTCTCCTCCCTGTTACTGTCTCAAAAAAATCCCCAACCAAAAACATTACAACATATGTGTAAAGAAACAAAAACATTACAACATATGTGTAAAAAAACATATTAAGTATCCCGGCTCTATTAAGTATCCCGGCTCTGTTAAGAGCAGGTCTCCCAAGAAAAAAGCTTCATCTTTCCTGTCTGCACTTTAGTGGAAGAAGGCAGGAACACAGTTTCTGCCCTGATCAGTAACTTAGTATCCTGGAGAACATTTGGTTTGACACATCATTGAATTCCCTCTAGGAATGTGTTGCTGACTGTGCTCATATTCAGCTTCCACTTTGGTCTGAAGTATGCTTAACTTCTAATTTCTCAGATATTTATAATGTGGGACCAAAGCGACATTAAGAAGTGTGATGTAATTGCTGTTTTTAAAACTGTGGTGGTATACAAGCAGGCCACTTCCTGGAATTTAACATCCAGCTGAGAAAAACAGACAAGTACTATCAACCACAGTAAGAAATAATGTGTGCAGTATGATATGATAAATATGGAGGATGTTAAATTTTGAAGGGTAAATTATTTCATCTCAAATTATTTGAACAAAATCCAATCTATTTATCTGAAAAAACAACTCCAAAAAGACTGCAAGTGGCAAGTTAGACTGAGCAAGTATACTTGTCAAAATCGATTATTGCCTTTCAAGTGTAGGAAAATGACAAATGAGCAATTAAGGGTTGCTATTCTTTATTTAGAACTGAAAAAGAGAGAAATGAGTCTGCAAGAAAAAATCTTAAGCTTTTTCTGCATGTTGCTTTGCTTCAAGTGAAAGTTCTGTGAATATATAGGAGAGCAGAAATGCCTTCTGCAAGGTGTTCATCTTCTACATTCCGCTTCTTGGTTCCCCTGCAGACCTGCTATGTGAATCTTGTCAAGACAAGTTTATGTTAATTAGTCTGTGGGAACTAGAAAGAGGATTTCTGCAGCTGGGATTCCCTTTTTAGGCAGCTGGTAGGGCTAATTGTCAGCAAAGAAGAACTTTTAATACCCAGTAATGTTAAATATTCTGAGTATGATGGAATTCGCTGTTATTAGATTACTGACAACACAAACAAGACTTTCCCTAGGATAGGATTTATGCATTGGGTCATCTCACTATGTGTGAATACATGTAAAATCAAAATCAGGTGAACAGCACATAGACAAATTGAGCTTCCATAATTCCCTTACCTGTTTCAACAGGCCAACTATTACGGGTAAAAATGGTCATGATGGGGGGGTTGGGGGTGTAGGCAGGATTGCCTAAGGGTCTCCAGTCTGCTGTTAACAAAGAAATAAAAGATAGCGTTAGTTGCACCAAAATTTGGCTGGGAAGATGCTCTCTGGCCACCACAACTTTTACCTGCAAATGACATTCTTCTTCAAAAGCTGTTAAGCAGGGATAACTGTTGCTTACAACGGGAACTGTGTTAACACCTGGGAAGGCAAGTTAGCCTACGTACTGCCGCAAGGAGACCCACTGGGAGGGAAGGACGCTCCCTGTCCCCACCACCAGCCAGACCTTCACAATCGCCCCTTGGACACAGCAGGAGGCGGACGAGGCGCTGAGGTGGGGCGCACTCCCATTGGCTGACACGGAAGGGGACGTAAGTCTGGGAGAGAGGGGAACTTGTGATTGGATGGTGGGCGGTGGAATGCCTTGTGATTGGGTAAGAGGCGGGTGCGGGTGGTGAGGGGGCGGTGTTGTGGTGGGACTCGAGGTCGGGCGGTTGCTGCGGCTGGGCGGCGTCTCGCGAGAGTCGTGTGGTGGCAGCGGTCTCGCGCGGCTACGGCCCGCTCCGCCTCCGGGTGCTTGGGCTGGCGGCGGCGCTGAGCAGGGCAGAGGCGATCGCCGCCCCGGCGACACCCGTGCCGGTTAGTGCGTCGCGTCTCGCGAGAGTCGTGTCAGCGGTCTCGCGCGGCTACGGCCCGCCCCGGCTCCGGGTGATTGCGCGGTTTTTTTTTGCGTGCGGGTGCTTGGGCTGGCGGCGGCGCTGAGCAGGGCAGAGGCGATCGCCGCTCCGGCGACACCGGTGCCGGTGAGTGACTCTTCCTCCCGGCGGGAGGGCGAGCGGGACAGGGCGGATCGGGTTCTGGGCGCGCGTGTGTGGGTGCCTCCGCTGCTTTGCCCCCTGCTGTCTGCCCACTGGACCGCGCGGGCACGGCGCCTTCTCCGTGAGGGGGTGTGAGCCTTCGCCGTTTCCCCGGGCCGAGGCCCTTTCCTCCTTACTCCTCTCCGGCCCCCCTTCAGATGTGGGGGCGGCCTCCTGCCGCCTCCTCAGCCCTCCCAGGCCTCTGCCTGTGGCGCCCCGCTCCCCATCCGCACAGCCGGGACAGGCCGGTTCCCTCGCACCCACCCGTGACAGAGCGGCCTCCCCCAGGGCCCAAGGAGCAGCGAGCAGGGCGGCTCCGTGCAGCCCCACTTCATAGCCTTGTTCTCTTGTGCCCTGCGGTTCCTCCAAGTTTTCATCTGCCCGTGTGCGCTCTTTTCCCCCAGGCAGTCTCACTCGGCTGGAGGCGACCCGCAGGTCTGGGGGTCTCCTGAGCCCCCGGTGTCACCCCTTCACACGCCTTCGCCTAGCCTCTGCTCCCTGTCGTGTGCTCAGTGTGGGCTTATTTGTATCTTCTCCATCCTCTGTGAAACGGTGGTTTTCTCCCCTGAGTGACTTGACTCCTCACAGGGCCATCATCACTAGGTATTATCTGTCCTCATCCTCCCTTTTTACCTTCTTTAAAGACCGTGATTGTATCTGTTCCTTTTTGGTAGTGCTGTGTCTCATCTTTGGAAAAAAGATTACTTAGAGAGAAAAAGTTTGGCTGGTGGTGGAAGGGAGTAGGATGATTTTCCTTTGAAGTAAGAGCCAAAATAGAGTAGGTTATGACTGGACTTTGCATGTGTGGGCTTGCATGTCTGTGTATTCATGTGTGCCATGGCTAAATGTGGTCCAGTTGGTATATGGAGTCACAACTTGAAGAGAAGTCCACAAGTGCAGAATACCTAAAAAGCATCTCTGGACAAATTGGAAGGCTGTTGGATATTTATGTATGTGTTTTGTGACTTCATAGCTTTTCGTTTAAAAAAAATATTTCGGGGAAAGATGAACTTTCCTTTACCGATTCTTGATTGTATTGTGTATTCTTGTATTGTAGCAGTTGAGTGCTCAAATACGCTCCGACTATGCACATTAAAAATTCTAATGCTTTTCTTTGAATTATTTTATGCTGATCACAGAGGTGGAGTTTGGAATTGTAGTGGCTTAATTTCCTTTATTTGTTGAACTAAGGGAGCTTTAATGTCACTAGTGCCCAGGGCCAGCAGTGTGTGTATCCCATCTCCTTAAGATAGCTGATGAAAGCAACTGTTACAGCCATGGTGGTTCTCATACGAATACTGTTTAACCAAAGTTGGACTGATACTTTTAATCTTATATAGGATTCTCAACAGGGTAATCATTTGCTTGTAGAACTGATCTTAGCATAGCTTGAATTGGGGATAACTCAAGATTAGAAAAGGCGTGCAGGATGTTACACCGAAGTTGTGATTAGTAGTGCTTATGGGACTCTAAGAAAACAAATGCTGTATTCTTCCAGAAGGACATAGGTCACTGGTAGAAGCTGCTCATCTGCACATCAAGGAAATGACTGAAACTGATAAAGTAGTTTGACTTACATGTATGGTCCAGTTGTCAGTCTTCAGCCGGGTAAGGAGTTTTGTTTACAATGACTAGTGTATAATCAGATAGGATTCTTGGTCATAACTCAGTACCTTCACTTCCAATATCTGTTATGATTAGAAATCTCTCCTTCAGTAAAGGAATGAACATACTCATTCCTAGAAAATGTTATTGGTGAAAAGCAGTTACAATTCCGTGCCTTTCGTTAACGGACATTAATTTATACACACGAGTCTGTAGAAAACTGGTAACTTTAAATTAATAAATAGTCTGGATTTATTATGTTCTCCTGACTTCTGAGACAATTGAAAAGATGTAGCATTGCTGCTGTCATCTAAATCTAGACAACATAATGACTACAATTTTGGTTATACTTGAAAAACAAGCTGAATAAAATCTGCTTCCAGATATGAGTTAATTTTTAATTTGTCTTCATGCTTTTGTTTTCTGGGTTTGAAATTGTCAGTTAAAGCTTGACATTTAGTTCTTTCTGGTTTTATTTTTAGGAAAGAGAGCTGAAAATCTGCTCTCGCATTTAGCTCTTTATAAATTGTCTTGTTGTAGGTTTCAGATGTCTCATATATTAGTTTATTATTTTAAAATGCCCTAACTGGCTCTCCATCTCCAATATCGCTTCCAACTGATAAATTCTTCCAGTACTTTTATAGGGGAAAACTTAACAAACTTTCATTGCCTTTTGTCATTCTGAATTAAAAGCTACATGAAAGCATTTTAGTCATCTGAAGATAAGAAGTCGTCTAGTAAATTGTGCATTTTTCGTATGATTTGTGGATTCTTCTTTTAGCACACTTCACAGAACAGATGTAGGACATTAATAATGGTTAGTAGAGAGAGGTTTCTTTTTTTTTTTTCTTCTTGTGGTGGCAACAAAATTATCTGAAAGGTCCATGGAAAATGGATGAAAAAAAGCATTATGTATAGCTTGAGATCTTGTTATTGCTGGTCCGAAAACACACTAAAACTTCTCACAGAAAATAGTCAAAGATTTGCTTCTAACATATCTTATGGTGTGGATGTTCTGGATACTTTATGTATTAACTGGAACAAGTATGTTTAGATAAATTATCGGACAATATGTAATAACTAACTCTTTCTGCAAAAGAATGCATGGCATACACCTTGACAATGTTTTGGTTTTTTCTTTTTTTGTCTCCTAGAAATGGGTCTGCTTTCAGAAGATGCAATGCACTAGATGTGGTGCTTGGAACAGGATTAGTCATGGCATCAGAACTATGTAAAACAATCTCTGAGGCAAAGCTGGAAAGGCACAAGAACTTGTTCTTAAATTACCGAAATCTCCATCACTTTCCTTTGGAGTTACTGAAAGATGAGGGGCTGCAGTACTTGGAGAGACTTTATATGAAAAGAAATTCCCTGACCACATTGGTACGACAACCTCTTTATTGTAATGTTTACTGTCTGTATGTTCAGGAATTCTGATTTTTGGAACAGAAAAACCAAGATAATTTAAAAGAATAATAATCTTATAGCAAATCTGATCCTGAATGATGTCATCCATTGTGAAATATGAGTATTTGGTTGTATTATGTTTGAACTTGCATAGGTATTGTAGAGTATAATAAATGAAAGTTTATGACATTTTATGGTTACCGTTTTGAAGCTCTGCTGGGGGTTTTCTCGTGAGGTTTGTTTGGGTTTTTTTTTAACTGCTGTAAATTTTGCTCATGTCAGTGGTCAGGCCTTTCTACTGTTAGGTGATACTATGCAGTCTAATCTACATTCCTTCATTAGGCTAAACAACTTTTACCTTGGTGTGTGTCTTGTTTTAAAGGCTTCGTCAATCCCAGGGTCTAATTCAAAGCTTGCTGTTAAGGTATCAGCGAAAACTTGTGTCTACGGGCTGCTGTTGATGGGAGAACAAACAGTTAATTTCAGGGTTGTGGGATTTTCTGTTGTGGTTTCTTCTTGTTTTGTTGTTTTTCTCTGAACTGAACAAATTCTTACCCTGGATGAATGTTGTGACCTCAGAATTCAGTGTGGGGTAGTTAAACAACTGTGTGACATATTGTGAGTTGGTAAGACTCTACAGAGCGTCAAAACTTGCCACTGTCAGTAGGCTCAAGTCTCCAAGTAATTAAGGTTTGTGGGTTTTTGTTGGTGGGTTTTTGTTGTCTTTTTTTTTTTTTCTTGGGGTCTTCTATGGTATGATAGGTAAAATAATAGCCAGGGTAGAGGAGCTTGAGGGCCTGACTACTTAAAACTCACCAAAATTACATGTTTTTCAGTGCTTCCTAGAAAAAGTCCAGTACTCCAGTTTAAGGAATAGTGTTTAAAGCTTTGACAATGATACATTAGAATTCCTTAATAAAAGCTTTACTTCTTGGGCCAAAAGCTGAAAAGGGTTCTGAAGATTTTACGCTTTTTCTTCATCTTGAATGAGTCACTTAAGTTTGCATGTACTGTAGAGAATTATTTTGGCACTTTTTGGTTTTGGGCAAGTCCTTTGCTTAATAATGTAATGGGAGAATAGGATTCATGGTTACAAATTAAAGCTGCTTTAAAAATTAACCAAATACTATAAACAGTTCTGCTTCGACACTTTGTGAAAAATCAGTGCTTATTTAGTGGTGTAAGGTTCATGAAGTTTGTACTGCTCAAAAGATGAAACAATAATAAGGAGAGTTTTGCATATCGCTTTTCTGCATGTATGTGTTAGAGCCTGGTTTTGTTTTTCTCAAAGCAATTATAAAATAGAAACCAAAACAAAGCCTCACAAGTAAGTTTAGTTCCATTTTCCTCTCAATATCTGTTAACATTACCAGCTAATGGATGTGTAATGTGGCATAAGAGTAATTACCCATGGTTACTGTCAACAGAAGATGTATTAAATGAGGGATGCAGCTCTTGCCCAACAGTTTGGTATTGTAATTGAGGCCTGGGATAAAGGAACTGAAATAATATGTAAAACGTAGATCATACCTAGGCAAAATGACTTGCAAACAGCGTGAAGTAGAGCATTAGGATTCAAAATGATCAGGATGACTTGCTCATAATATGACTCGGTGGAACCTCATTCAAATGCATAGCACTATAGCTAGGACCTAGGGAAAGAAAATTGGGTCTAATTCACTGAGCATCTGTTCAGCAGAATAGATGTTGGAAGTTGTAGTGGACCAAAATAGATCAAGTCAGCAGCATGTTACAAAAAAGGCAGATGTCTTTTTGGAACATAGAAAGTTTCACAATCTCTATTAAAATCAGAAGGGAATAATTATTGGATACTGTTAAAGCATAAGCTGGAGCAAAGATTGAGTCTGGGGTTTTCATACTTATGAACAACCTAGGTAAACTGCAAAGAACCTAGAAAGCGGCAACAGGGGATTTTTAGAGAACATGGCCTATGAGAGAAGGTTGAGAGATTTAGGTTAATTCCGCTTGCAAAAAGAGAAGACAGAGAAGAAAAGAAATAGAAGAGGAGTAATGGGGGAGAGCAGAAGTCATTGGTATTTTTACAAAGCAGTATTTTCATAATGAATTTTTTTTGCTGGTAGGACAAGTAATAGTCTCAATTTCAGTAAAGAAGTAGTAAGTTATTTACATGGGGGGGGCAGGGGAAGGAATCTCATCTGAGAATAGTTGAAAACAAATAGGTTATTGAAGGAAGCTGTATTCCTTTCACTGAGACTTTCTGAAGGAGAAAATGTACCAATTTCTTTGAGGGGTGATCCTGTCTGAGAAGAGTGATTTTCATGTCTCTTTCAGCCTTGTGCTCCTTTGATTCTATACAAGATGATGAGCATTAGCTCATGAATAAATACTTTAAATTGCATGTAGATTATTAGCAATCATCAAAACTAAATCTGTACCATGTTTCTTTAAAGTAAGGTGGTACTTTCGTCCTATTGGTTCATTCCTTCAGAGTTCTGAAAAATGTTGACTAAATCAGCTTTTGTTCTTCTTTGCTGTTCTAAAATTACTCTAGTCCTTGACAGATGGCTCCTATGAAAATGTCTGGAATAGTTATGCTGACAGAATTTACATATACCTTGACTAAGAATAATTTCATTTTTTGTCTTCATTGGCAAGATGGAAATAATAGAGGGCTATGACATAATGAATGGATCAAGAAGCTATATAGCACACCTGTATCTCAACATCAAGTCTTCCAACTTCTCATTTAATGTTTGACTGATAACATTAGCCTTCCAGTAATCCTATTTCCCCATCTATTAAAAGGAAACACACGTTTGCCTTGATGGCACTGTCAGAAGCATGATCTAGCCATATCAAAGAACAATTGTTCTTAATTTACTAACTCAGCATATGCAATGCTGAACCAAATCAGCAGGTTCACTTTTTGAAAAATGTCCAGTGGGTGTGAGGGCGAGGCAAGCTTCACTAAACTGGTGGCAGAATTGATGATTCATTTATCATCATTGTTTGTTGTCATGTCACCAGTAGAGACCAGAGTTAGTTTCATCTCTCAATTGATAGATCAGAATAGTTTTTTAATTTCATTGTAGGATGTTGTATTGACTCAGACCCATTGTTACTATGGTACTCAAGATGATAAGCAGAATTTCTATTATAGACTTGCTAAACTGTAAAGTTGTCTCTCGTCAGTTTAGCGCTCTTACAATATGAAGCAGTTAAAGCAGGAGTAAGAGGATAACTTTCATGTATAATGTGAAAATAGTTTGTGATTCAGGTTAGTATCCTTATTCTAATAAAGGGTGTAGGATGACAGTGAATTTGTTTTTTCACATTCCCTCTTCATTTTTTAAATTAAAGCTTGAATTTTTTGTGCTTGAGCATGTTGCAGCCTTTCCATGTTTTCCCGGTTTAAGCTGTTCTCTCTGACCAAATAAAATGCTGTGCCGAGAGAAGATAAATGTACTGTAGCAAACCTTCCAGTAGGTGGCAACAACTGATTAGTTATAGCCTGTTTCTTGGGTCTTGACGTCAACGGATTCATTTATTGAGCCATCATTTGCTGCTCCATAGTTAAAAACAAACTATTTTTTGTACTCAGATCTAGGATATGGCATGTTTGCCACTTAAGACTATTTTGACATTACTTTTTCAAGTTAGTGTATTTCTTCATAATAAATTTATAAACACAAAGTTAAGTATTTTAGATAATAATATACCTTAAATTTATATGACAGTGAAAATTGCTAGGGTTTTTTTAACAGGAAATTGACTGTGTGATTGAGCTGATCTTAAAATTTATTTGTTTCTGCATATGTGTATTGTAAAAACTTTTTTTCAATAAAACATATCTATGTTTAAAATAGGTTTCTTAAGCAATAAAGCTGTCTTAACCATACTCAAGTTATTCAAGGTTACCAACATGACATGTAAAACTTGTGAAGCTGATTTTGTGGTATATATTCATGGTTATAAACGTCATTAAGAAACAGAATTGCAGCTAGGGAACAGTTAGCAGTTAGAAAATAATATGCATGTTAATTTGTAAATATGGAAATCTAGTTTGATGGATTCAGCACTTCTGGCTTGGTGGTAATTGATTAAGCTACACAAAGTTTGTAGGTCATTTCCCAATTTACCAGCATTACAAAATAAAATACATTATGGTTAGACATCTTGTATAGTTCTTGTTCTGCTTTAAGTCTGTAAAGGCTGCAGCTTTTTAGCAGTCTCTTGGCTTCAGCTAACTCAATTATTTTAATTTATTTTTGAAACTAAGGTTTTTGGTAATCCATCTTTTCAGCCTCAGAAGTCTGTTTACCATTTAGTTGAGGACGCGTTAATGTCGCTTCTAGGCTGTAGTTCTGTTTCAGTAGTGAATTGCTCACCCTTGATATATCCCAGATTGCACTGATGGAGAACGTGCGGGGATGTGGAAATAGGGTATTGCATACAAGCTCCTTGTTGCCGTTTTTTCTGTGACTAGCTGCTGACATGTTTTAGTATGGATATTAAAATGAGTTGGGTACACAATATGTGTGTGTCTGCTTTTTGTTTTGAAACCTAAAAAATCTCTAACTCTTTTTCAGCCAGAAAACCTTGCACAGAAGCTTCCAAACCTCGTGGAATTGTGAGTTTGTGTAGGAGTTCTAATATATTTTTATTATGCTGATCCATCTTACCTTAAAATAATTCTAGAATGTATTGCTTGCACATAACCTACCTCTTAAGTGTGAAAGTTTTTCTTGGAGGTCAAGAAAGGGTTATTTTTTGTTGGGTTTTTCTCCTTTTTTTTTAAAAAGGAGATATTTTGTCCCATGTTAATCTTTTCTATAATTTCTTGTTTATTGTATAACAATAAACAATTTTGTATAACAAAATATACAACAGCCTACACTGCTAAGGGAAAAATACTTATCCCCCAACTCCTGTGTAGACTGTTGCCACCCTGATACAGCACTGGAACCTCCAAATGCAATGGTCAGATGGTTGTGACAGCCAGAGTAACAGGCTACTGCTTCCAGCCCATCCCTAGTTGCTCATTTCCAGCCCAGCTACCAGGGGTATTATGAGCTCAGTCTTGCTGATTGTAGTACTAAGTTTTTTTGGAACCAAGTCACGGATTGTCAAATAGGAGCAGGAATGAGCAAGTAGGGGTAGTAACTATTTAATGATGATTGCTGTAGGCAGAGTAGTTTATCTAATCTTGTCCAAAGAATGGATGTCACATGAACTGTATTATTTTGGCACTTAAACTGTAAGCCCCTGAGTCAATGTCTTCTTCCCTCCCATTTTCTTCTTGTAAGGTTATGATTTTCTTGTATGGTAGGCTTGGCGGAGGGGGTGTTAAAAGGGACATCCTCTTTTCCCCTTATAATTCATTTGGCTCACTGTCAGTTGAGTTAACTGATGGACCATTGATTCTGTTCATTTAATGGAAAGCTCTAAACAGGAGGAGGTGTATATTGGAGTAGTCTAATGCATTCAGCTGTCTGATGTTGTCATCTTAATTTGGCCCTTGAAACCACACCTTTCTGGTACACGCGACCACAGTATAATTGAACTGTTTTGTAGGTCACTGCAGTCTCGGACTTGCTTAAGAGACAATCTTGTCTTATCATGCCTGAGTCTTGAGAGTATGTTTATGCTCTGAAGCAGTAAAATAAATATTTTTGTATTTGTTATACTTAGTATTTAATGATTTGCCATGGGGCATCAGGAAATCTCCATGTTATCTGATGGTGCCTTTAGGAAAACCTGTATAAATTACAGCTTAAAATAATCTCTTGGAAACACTGAATTGTAGGAGTCAAACCTAATTATTTGGGGTTCAGCAAGCTTAGTTGTACCACCATTATCCCACACATTCTTCTGGTCTAGAGAGAACTGCAGTGGGCCTGTGGTTTGTGTAGCTCTAACAGTACAAGTCAATTTTTGATCAGACAGTTAAGAGATGTTTTGTTGACAGAGGAGAGACCACAAAATAAAGATTTATTTAAAGAACAATTTGTTACAGTAGCTTTAAACTTTGAAAGACAAACTTAACTGATTTTCATTTTCCTGAAAGTTATATCCTTGGCAATTTCACTACATATTTTTAAAAACTTCACTGTTATCTGTGTTTCTTTGTATATCGTGTCCCTCATGCTGGGATACTAGGTGTAGATCCTCATAATATACATCTTTTTAGCTTGAGTGAAATAGTTCACAGGTATTTTCCAGGAGCTGCAGCTGAAATGAGTAGGAGAATTCTCATCCTGAGGTATATATAAGGATTACTACAAACATATCTGCTATCCTCATGTTTGTTACATTTTTCATAAACTTTAAATGTCTGCGATTTTTAAAGAAAAAGAGAAGGCTCAGATGCTCTATAGAGTTGAAATGTTCATATGTCTTTTTCCTTTTTCTGCCTCTATCTCACCGAAAAGACAGGCTCCTACTTTTGGAAATGCTGTTTGAATAGAGTGGAAAAAAAAATGTTGTGCAAATAATTTCCGTATGTGCCTAAGCAATTGGACATTGAGTACTCAGTATACCTTTACAATTAGATGTCAATATCTGAAAATTTTGTTAATCTAAGAACAGTTTTTATGTTACTAGTAGTACTGGAAGTGTTCCAGCAGAGGGTGCTGAAGATTCTTGGTGAGCGATCTGGCCACCCTCACTACCTACCTAAATGACCATGTGTAAGATTGGGTTTTTCTTTTGAAAAATGTACTCCAGGTTTGAAAAACCCACTTGCAGTGAGTGGATCATGTGCTTGTTTCTTCAGTCAGTAAAGGTGCAAGAGTTTAGGTGCAGGGGAAAATGTTCGTAATTGTGTAACTTGTGTGGGTTTGGGCTTTTTTCTTTTCTTGCCCAGCATTTAGTGTGGAATAACCTGATGATCAAATATGGTTCATTCTGGTTATTCTATCTGCTTTCTTCTTTTTCCTTTTTGTTTCCTCTTATGACTCTCAAAACTAAAGCCCATTATTATTGTAACTGTGAATGTTTTGTTTTAAATAATTGTACGTCATTCTCTTTTATTTTTATGTTAATCATTTAATAGTCTAAGTGAAACTTAAGTACCTATCCATTGCCAGTTTATACAGTTTCCACAGCTTTTGTGGTCATAGAGAGGAATGGCTTTGAGGGTGCTCTTTCAGTCTGAAATTGGATATTTTGCAAACTGATTATGTAGCAGAAGTCCTTGAGGGTAACAGGTGGTGTCCTCTGCTTTTTTCTCCTCCCCCCAGGTACCTTCATTCAAATAACATAGTTGTTGTACCTGAAGGTAAGTAATCTACCAGCTCACAATAAGTGGCAGGAATCATAAAATATTCATTTTTCTTCTTTGAAGAGACCTATTTTTTCCTTTATTTTCCCATAAAACATTAAAGATTTTCATACAAAATATACAAGCGTAGCTCTTAGTCGATAATATCTTTGTTTATGCTATGTTAAATTCTTTTAATGAATTCTCAAATGCACCTAAATGCTGTTTGCTTCAGTTCTAATTGCAGAAAGCAAAAAGACTAAATGGCACTCATCTACAGAAACAAAAATCTGGAGTGTCTACTGCTTTCAGCCAGTTACCACACAGAATACTCTGCTGGTTTAGATCATGACAGATTTGAAACCTAAATTATCAAGAACTTGTACTAGTTTCTTTTCCTTGTCTTTGTAGAGTTATGTGCCTAACTTCAGGAAAGTACTTTAAACTCTTTCTGAATATATAAATTGAATAGACACAAAGCAAAGGAATGGAAAAAGTTATGCTGGGGCAGAATCGTCTGAGGAGAATCTAGAAATGGGAGTATTCTCTACATCACTATTTTTCCTCCCTGTCTCACTGCCAGCAGTACTGTTTGTTAGATAGTTTGTGGAAATGCTTATCCATGTCATTCAGTTGTGAGACCAGCTTTCATACATCAAAATCTGCTCAGATATAGGTGTTGGGTACTGTGGCTTTTTATCCTCTCATAGTCCTATTAAGATTTTAACATTACTGTTGGGTCACATTCATGTTTTAATCTGTTCTCTCACAAGCCATTGGCTCCCTCGTTAAACTGCAGTTTCTGGACCTAAGTGATAATGCCCTCGAAATTGTGTGTCCAGAGATTGGCCGCCTGAGATCCTTACGTCATCTTCGCTTGGCTAACAATCAGCTGAAATACTTACCTGCAGGTAAGTACAAATGCGTGAGGGATTACAGCAGTGACAAATTCCATTTGAACTTAATTGGCATAGTGATCTGCTCTGGGTTTATTCATATCTTACAGTTGAAGCATGGTACAACTTGCATTTAAAGACTAGGCAGGGATTGCCATTGTATGTATTGTACTAAATATACTCTGTAGTTAGAAAAAAGCCACACTGTATGTGGCTTTAAGTCCTGAAAAATGCTTCTGAAGTGGGGAAAAAAATGTATTAACAGTCTTTTGCCATTGTATCAAGAAAACATTGAACTTCCTTGAGAAGACAGAAAATTCCAATGCCAACTGTCATTATGATAAAATGATGTTTCTTCCAATTTTCCTGTAGGATTCCAGTCCTTCCTTTCTTTACGCCCAACAGCCCCATTCATGTATTTTCTAAAAAGACAGATGTCTAGTAGGTTTGCCTATGGCAGTTCTACCTCACTATGACAGTAAATAACAAATGTTTGTCCTGCTAGTTTATAATAAAAAAGCAAAATTTATTCAAAGTAAATGTGACACAAAGTCAGAAAAAGTTGGCCGTAGGCAGATTTTGAATGATTTTTTTTGCCTTCTAAATACTTTGACAAGCAGACATAACTGATTATTCTTCTTCCATTGCCCTTATATTTTTCCAGAGAAGATGATGGTAATTTTTAAATTTTTTTTTAAATCTTTCTATGGCATATTTGCATCTTCGGATCTGCAGAGATTATAAAAAATTAAGGCCAGCATTTCAAAAAACTGGTCTAACTTAATCTAACAGGATTAGCTTTTGGCTCTAATTTTAACTAACTTCTCAGTGTGACCATCATGTGTTTGTCAGTTCGCGTTGCTTATTATCAAGAAATATATTGCAATTGCTCCTTGAAGTTTTGGGTGCAGAAATCTAGCTGTCCTTTCCTTGTACTTTTCTAGGCATAATAAGCTTAATAAGAATAAGTCAAAGGAAGCTTATGATTAGAAAGAAAAAAATGTATACGTCTATGTAAATGCTCTGGAATGAAATTACATAAACCTGTTAAACATTATGACCCAAGGCCAATAAAATTTCCATCTGTTTTCAGATGTCCTACATTCAAAAGAAAGGAGTGACTTGAGTGTGCTTTATGTTCCTCAAAGATAATTTACCTTATGGTGCTGTACCGTGAAAGAAAGACTTGTTCAAAGAAAAGTGACACATTTTCTGCAAAACTTCACACATTAACTTAAAAAGGTTCCAAAAAAGACTTTCAAAAGGATAATTTACATTACTGAAGAGCTGATTTTGAGTCTACCACATTTGATTAGGAATTGGTATCAGCTGCATAGGCATGCTGCATTTAATTTCTCCTGAAGTTTACAAAATTTGGTACTGAGCATTGTCCCTAAGCATGTTTAGTTTTGTGTGCATGAAAATTTTGCATCCTTAGAATAATACTACTGTTGCCTACTTTTGAACTGGAGAATCCAGTGGTGTCTGGTCTTTCTGGTTTTGCTGGTAGTGTACCATCAGTTTATACATATGGCATTACTGCTATCATTACCAATCCTGTCTGTTCACATGCTGTCACTATCAACATGACTGGGTGTCATACAACTTGAGTATTATCAGTCCGAGCAAGATTAATCTTTCACTTACACTGGAGAGTTTGCCCACTGGAGAGTTAATCTACTGCATTGAGTGTTTCCTAAACATAACATTTCCTGAAGAGGGCTTCCAAGCATAGTTTCACAGTTTTTCTTTGTAAAATTGCAAAGATTTCAAAGATGACTTTGTAACAAAATCTTTGAGTTTGAAAATAACATTTATGCTCAACAAATGAAAAAATAGAGCAAAATAAGTTTTGATGAAATATTTTATAATTATAACATAATAAATTTAGAAATATAATTTATAATCCTTAACTAAATTGGTAGCATGAATCTTCATAATAGTGTTAAATAGCGTTCTGTCAGGAAAGTTAGCAAAGTTAATAAAATGAACTAGGATGAGATATTATTTCACTGCAGTACATCATTTTACTGCGTGTTAACTGCTTTCTTTACAGCAGATACTGCATTGCAATGCATTGTTAAGGAAAGACAGCTCTTAATTGCTCTTAATTTATAATAAGTAACCATTTAAGATATAATTTAGCTTCTACTAGTGCAGCTTGTGCAGATCTTAAAGATCTGCATTAAAAAATAGCTTTCAGGTATAGGGGATAGTAATCTATGGAAGTAACTTTTCAAAACTTGTGACCGTCATTTTCTTCCAGACTTAGTCCCGCATATATCACACAAATGGCAGTGAACTGTTTATCACAGCAGAGGATCCAGTTAAGAAAGGTGGATCAGTATTCACCTTGTGTAACCAGACAGGCCAACTTGCAGTGGAATGATGTCATCACATAAAAAGCTTACTTTAGAGTTCTTGCCCTGTCATTCCTCTTGTCTCTCCCTTCCTAGTGTCTGGTGTTATAAGTACCGTCAGTTTTTGTTGAAACTACATGGATAGTAGATGGATATCTAGGAGGATACTCTTAGTAATATCCTTAATCAATTGCTAAAAAAATCTGCAGAACTGTTGGATGGTAAACGTTTGCCATTAAGTGTCTGAACACCCACACTTTTCTATTGCATTTTTTATTTTCAGAATGATTCTCTATTGTGTCTTCCTTCATTGTGGTTAAGAACTGAAAGAAACAATGCAATTCATAGCATATGTTGATTCATTATCCATTTTTAATGTTTTTGTTCCACAACTGTGCTCTTAACACTCCTTTTTAGTGTTTAAGATTTGCCTTATAGAAATCTAGCATAACTCTAAAACAATTGAAATAGTATGCATAATGAAGCCCAATAAAGATTTATGTCTTCAGTCTGATTGTAGACATTCTTCAGACTCTAATAAACATTGAGCCTATGCTGCGGTTTATCTTCAATGTGATGGGCAGGATCTTAGTCTCTAAGTACCTGTTTTCATAAAGCTTGTGAGAATTTAATAATGAAGACCTCTCTTCTTTTCTCACGTTTGGTCATGATTATTCAGCTAGTTTTAAAAAGTCACTTTAAGGGAGGAGAATGATGAAAATACATGCAGACAGCATGAATACATAAGCCTTAGTTTCCTGAAGAGATCAGGCAATACAGGACTGATGAGGGGGGAAAAAGGGCATTAGGTGAAGCGGAAACTGTGTTCCTTGGAGATTAGAAAGCACTTTCTATGCTGTGGCACTTTTGTAGTGTAAATGATAATCCTACCTTTGTGCTTAGCAAACACTACCAAATCAGCGTCACCCATGGATAAGATCATGTACTTTGGCCTCAAGGCACTTTGTCTAATTGTGCACTACCACTGAAACAATGGGGCTTCGATCACGCATCATTAAATTGTTGTGAGAATTGTTGAAAGATGACTAAGCTAAACTTGATGAGAAGCAAGGGGAATAATTTGTCCAGAACAAGCATGTTGAAATTGAAGTATAATATAAAATGACTGGAAGAAAATGCTTTGTGAAATTCTCTTGAAGTCATGTTTTGAATGTACTTTGGATAAGGTTAATAAGTGGACCAGCTTCTGCCTAATGCAGAGTTATCGGTATCTAGATTCTGTGGTAATCAGAATCACTAACTGAGAGACACTGTCTTCGGGGGGAGAGCTGATTAAGAGAGTTGCAGATAAGTAAGAAGAGGAGATTTAATATTATAAAGTTCTCTTGAGTGCTTTTTTCATTGAAATGCACAGCATTTTTTTTGTTCTGCAAATTATAAATCTTGTAGCTTCTGTCTTTAACAATTTCTTGGTTCTTTTATTTGGTTCTGGTACATGTAATTCTTGAACATGAAGTAAAGTTTTGTGAAGTTTTCTACTATTTAACTGTAGCACTTAAATAATCAAAATTCTTGAGGGCCATTTGGAAATATGTAATGCCAGAGATAAGTCTTAGAGCTGCAGCATAAACAAAAGATGGTTATTTCATATTATTACATTAGTTTGTATTACATATTTGTATTACAAATATTACATATAAGCTTGACTTAGTTGATATCACGTTTTCATAGTAGCTTAACTTTATTCTTTTAGAGATTTCACTTTATTCAGAGAAATGATGTCTCATTTTAATTTAGAATTGTAGAGTTATGTATCATTTGCCAAAAAAAAAAAATCCAATGAGATGTACTAGAAAAATTATTCTTCAGGGGTCCCAAAGCCAAGGTTATCTCTCAGTTTTGCTGCGTTACCATTTAGATTTGATTTAACTTTAGCCTTGGAAACTTTTTATGTGAAGTGATGGCTCTTCAGGTTTACATTTTGGTCTTTTAGTTAGTGAATGCATGTTTGGACAGCAGATGACTTAAAAGAGGGTGGGTTTTACTCAAAGTTTGACTTAAGTTTCATATTTGACAAGGATTGGATTTTTTATTGTACATTACTTGAGAAATACTTCTACTTGGAAATGGCAAGTTGTAGCATCTTGTTCTAAGATTTAATTAAAAATGAGGTTATGTTTACTCAGCACATGTTGGAGTTAATTATAGATTTACTGAAATGAAAAGCTTAATGTTTTGCCAAGTCAAGAGCAAAAGCTAAGTAATTAAACAAAGAACAGGGTATGGTTTATGATCCCAGCCCATCTTTTGGCAAAGTTCCCTTCAAGAAGGGAAAAAAAATATATATCAGCAGTTGTCTTTACATGGGCTAGACTGTTTCCCTTTGTGTTTGTTGTCAGGGAACTTTAAAAACCAAGAGCTGAGCGCATTGATCGGGCAAAAAAAAAAGTGCAGTCAGATAATACCAAACTTCATGTAAACTGTGCGATGCTGTTTCTTTAATCTGTAAAGTGGAAGTGCAGGTGACTGGGGAGCACCAGCAGTTGCTGTTGCTGAAGGGGGGTACAGATCTCTGCAAGAGTCAAAGGCAGGTTTAGCAAATGTCCCTTCTTCCCCATATAAGGAAGTGTGTGGCTTCCATTTCAAATTGACATTTCCATGTTGTCTCTGGAGACTTCTGCATATTGCATCCAC